AGTCAGAGCTGTCTTGCTTTACTGCCATGCCGATGACGTTCTATTACAGGGGGATTTTGTACAATCTCTAGGAGGGTTCCAGTCAATCGCAAAGGAGATTTATGACAGTCTCAGTAGATATTCCGAACAAGCCTAGGGGGAATGTCAGACAATCCCAGTTTGGTTTCCCAACAATATCAAATGTAACTTCGGAAAATCCAAAGAATGAATATGAACTATCCCAGGGAGGATTCCGGACAATCACAGGAAGAATTTCACTCAATATTGAGGGGGATTCATGACTGTCCAGGGGGGATTCCATAGAATCCAGTCAATCCAAAGGTAGATTCTGGACAATCCCAGTATTACAAAATAGTACGTGATGGTTCCTACATCCTTTCGACTATCGCTCATTGACAAGCTTCATATAAGTTTCAGAATAGAATCAACTATGAAGTTAGCCAGAACGAACCTATTTGGACCTAGGATGAACAATTAAATAAAAGACTGCATTCAAAAATGCTCCTTTTGTGTTAAATATCGATCAACACAACAACACCAGACGATGAAAATTCAACCTGTTCCTGTTCAACCTTTTTCAACTCGTGTCTATTGATGTCTTTTTGCAGGAGTATCAGGGAAAACAACGAACGCTTCTGGAGAGAGTTGACCCTAACTCTGACATTTTCTAGCTAAATATTCTCAGAGATTTAAACCCCTCTTCCTTAATGAATGCTGGTAAATAAAATGTTACTTATCACGAAAGACCGTAATTAATAATAATTATGAGTTTCCTCATTTCAGGCATGTAGTGCAACAAAATATGAAACGTCTTCGACCGATTCTGTGAGATTGAGTTTTAATTTTCATGAGCTAAATTAATCTTCTGAAAACATTTGGCCAAATTCTTACTTCCTTAGTCTTGAAATCACACCATCTAGTGTTTCCTTCCCGGGCAATTTACCAGAATTATAATTTTCCGATTCCCAGAAAACTAGTTTAACTTCCCGAGAAGCAGTTTTTTTGTACGAAAACCATGTTAAATATATGTTATATTAAAAATGACCACACAACTTTTGGGGTTTTTGATAGAAATTTCCGGAAAAAGTTTGACGAATCTTTAGTGCGAAATCAGGAAAGCTTCCTGGCGAAGAATCTTTCCAACAAAACCGGTAGGCGCTTCTCACACAATCTGTGAGAAACTCCCGGGCGAAGTTAGAAGAGACTTCCATGCAAATTTAGGCAGCCGGATGAAACTTTCAGAATAATTCAGAAAAGTTTCCGTGATTAAATGTGAAATAGTTTCCACTTCCAGCGGTAGGACTTCTTATTGTAATCTAGGACTTCTGATTGTAATCTGATACTGTTGGAATGAAAAGATGATGAAACTTCCGAACAATGGACGAAATTTGCGGGAGAAGGTGGTAGATTCTTCCAGGGCAAGTTTAAAAAAAAACTTCCAGGAGATGTTGGAAGAAACTTTCGTGCAAAGTCAGACGAAACCTCCCAGAGAAATCATAAGAATCCTTCCGAAGAAGCTGGTGGAAATCTTCAAGGGGAAGTAGGAAGAAACTTCCAGAAATTATCAGAAAAATCTTCCGGGAGAAATCCTGACGAAGTTCAAGTTTTAATAAATAACTACCGACAATATTTCCCGATTTCCGGGAAGAGTCCCGGGTAATTATAAATGGCTGGGACATGGAAACACTCACACCACCACATCACCAAAAACTTCAAAGACATTACACTTTAGCCATCCATCCTAGAAAACAAACGAGACCTAAACATCCCTTGGCTTGGACAAGAGCCATCTAACTTGGATCTTTTAATGAATGAAAACTAAATCTTGAAATCAAAACATTCTGTCAGACGAGGATTGTTTGAACATTATTTGATGAAAAATATTAGACTACTTTGTTTGTTTTTGATTAAATATTGAGTAACTCAAATTTACTCACTGCAAATATATTAACTCTGAGTACAGTTGTCTTACCCCTAGATTTCGTCCTACTAAGCACAACCCGCGTTTCACCTCTCTTTTTTGAACAGGTTTGAACAAAAAATGGAATATTTCTGTCAATGATGCCTTCTAAATTTATTCACCTTTCAATACGTATCGTTGGATTTGATAAAGAGTCACAAATTGTTGAGATATTGTTTAAAATGTAATACTGCTTCTTGATTCTAAATTCGTCCTACAATGTTCAACTTGGTTCAACCATCCAAACGCATTGAAACGCCAATAGATTTTTTTCGTCCTGAGGATAAACATAGAAAAAGGAGATTCGCTACACGCTAACTTGAAAGTACTCATTAATGAGTAAAAAAAGACCCATTTTGAAGAAAAGTGGCTTAACTCATTAATGATTAAACAATTTTACCCATTAATGAGTATCTGTTACCCATTAATGATTAACAATTACTCATTAATGGGTAACAGATACTCATTAATGGGTAAAAAATTTACTCATTTAATGAGTTAAGCCACTTTTCTTCAAAATGGGTATTTTTCAATCATTAATGGGTACTTTCAAGTTAGCGTGTAGGAGCGCTTCATTTGTTTGGATTACAATGAGCGTAAATATTCATACAATGCGCTCTAATTGGATTTATGTTGTAGCTAATGAACTAACGCATCGGAACAAACCTATTATTGATGTGTGCACGGTGAAGTAGCGCTCTACCCTATAAGTTATTATTTCCTTTCTTTCTGAACAGAGGCCTTGTTTAACATTTACTTTTTAATATTAATATTATTCACAACTAATGTCAATCAGATACTTGCTGAACGACAGATTGTTAATAGTTGGTATGATCACTTAAATAAAAAGTCAACGGGACAATCTCCGTTCTGAAATTCGTCAACCCCAAGACACGAATTTCGGAACAAGTCAATTTTTTGTTTACAAACTTACACCATGAATAACAATCATGAAATCGTGAAAATTGGTCTGCAAAATAATCGTAAAGCCTGCGTTACGGTGCTCTAGGAACCAGCAAAGTCATCAAAGGTCATAGAAACACGAATTATTGACATCGTGAATCTGTTCTCAAAAACGGGAACATGGTTCATGGACTGAATTTGAAACTGGATATTTATTTGTTTACATTTAACTTCACGTCAGTGCTTTATATTAAACACTCACAGGAAACCGAAAATCACTCGTCGGAGTCCATATAGACTCACGGATCTAGGCGCCTAATAAATAGGTGACACAGTAGGAAGAAGTGTTAGTTTGTTAACTAAAATGAACTACCCATTTTGTTATGGCAGGATTCGTTTTAAGAAATGCTCCTCGTGTTTATTAGCGAAATTCACATCAAAAATTGATTAATTGCGTAGGAAATCAGTTTGGCACGGCATTTGTGACCTGCATACATCTTTCGGTCGTATGAAACAGTTCAAAAACTGTCCAAATCCGCCCATAAACATTTTTGTTTTGTATTTCTGTATGGCAAAATAGTGAACTTTTCGTGAACATTAACGGCAAAGAACTCACCAACACTGGGAGACCGTGAGTTCCTGCCCACCTGTCATAAAAACATCTCGGTACCAGTGTGTGGGTAAACGAGAGAATGCTGCAGTTCGTTCAAAAAATTTTATGGGGGGATATGGACAGTTTTTGAACTGTTTTATACGACCGAAAGATGTATGCTGGTCACAAATGCCGTGCCAAACTGATTTCCTACGCAATTACTCAATCTTTGATGTGAATTTCGCTAATAAACACGAGGAGCATTTCTTAAAACGAATCCTGCCATAACAAAATGGGTAGTTCATTTTAGTTAACAAACTAACACTTCTTCCTACTGTGTCACCTATGTATTAGGAGCCTAGCACGGGTACTTTCCATCAACACTCATGAGCAGATCGAGCGGATAGCTACGGTCGAGACGGCTAATACATAGGTGTAACAGTCGGAAGAAGTGTTAGTTTGCTTACTTAAATGAACCATGCCCATTTTGTTATGGCATGTTTGCTATACGAAATGCGCCTCGTGTTTATTAGCGAATTTCACATCAAAGATTGATTAATTGAGTAGGAAATCAGTTTGGCACGGCATTTGTGACCAGCATACACCTTCCGGTAGTATGAAGCAGGTCAAAAACTGTTCAAATCCGCAGATAAAATTTTTGTTTTGAATTTCTGTATAGCAAAATAGTGAACTTTTCGTGAACATTAACGGCAAAGAACTCACCAACACTGGGAGACTGTGAGTTCCTGCCCACCTGTTCATTTTCCATCGTGAGCTACGGTGCTTAGAACCAACAGCGGTGGTGAGAAACAATCCTTCCGCAAGAACACGGCGTAGTGCATTTTCATTTGCTGCTGCGTCTTGGAGGGGGCCATGTTGAGCCTTGGAATCTATGTGTGTTCGACTTGGCCTGTGTCATTAAGGTGTACCCAGATGACTCTGCACTGGAACCAGCTCCGCTATCCACTCCGGAGTTAGACAAGATGCCGCTGTAGGCATGCTGCATTCCCGTCCCCGTAGACCGGACGATCCACCGCCGAGTGACTCACAATAAACAATAAACAACCACTAAAAATGACAGCTGCTGCTCACGCTTATAGGTGCATGTCATCACAAAATCATGATTTTATTTGATATTTGCTTACTAATTTGCTGCTCGCGTTTGTTCATGAATTTGGGATTAGATTCTTGAAAATCGGATTTATGTGATCACGTTTCTTTGAAGTCATGAATTCATGTGAACCAGCAGTTCAGGTTTTCATATTTTTTTGTTCACGAATAACGGAACCGTTTTTTTGCGTGTTGATAGTTGAACAATAAAATGGTTTTACTTTCTGTGCTAAGCTTTCCCCATAATCCGCGCCAGCTGGAACAACCCTGAGCACGTCATGTCCATCAACTTTTGCATCACTCTAAATCCATGTTTTATTGGTGCTCTTAGTTAAGATTTAACGCTAACGACAGACTTTTAAACCACTGCGCCATGCTAATTATAAACGCTTAAAGGACCAATGGATTGTAATACGTAATCAGTTCACATTTGCATTCACAAGGGGAAATAAATAAGAGCATATATTTATCCAAACAGGTCTGTAGAAGTGTATAAATTGGAATTGTATTCTACATTGTGTATGAGCCGTGTAATTGCATTCTGCTAGACTAATCTTAATTCCATAATGTCCTACTACATGAGAGTCTGTATTGCCTCAAATACTATTAAAACCTCGGTAGAAAATTGTCACTATCCTAAAATGGAAGAGAAGTGAATAATAAATAGTAATTGTTCTAAAATGGTTACACCACAAAACATTCATGTATCACGCATATGCTGATGCTCTAAGACAATGACAACAATCGACAGCTTCCTACATTCTTATATTCTAGCGCCTAATCTTGGACATAAACTCCCGATAGGCTCCGACGGAATTCTGCAACTGTTGGAGGTATTTCTTGTGATGGTTGAGCGATTTTGGGTCGAGATCTGTGATGGTAACGTTGACCAGAAACTTCATGGCTTCGATTGTGACGATGTGACTCCGGGCGGCCGATGGCAATCTACAACGGAAAGAATTACGCGTCAGCAGAAGTTGATTACAATTCTAAATTCGACTTCACGGCGACGATTTACGTGTCCGAACGGAAACAAATGAAATCAATCCCAACAGAACAAATTCTGAAGGATCAAATGTTCATCCATTTAAACCTACGGCATTTAAATCCTTAAAAGACGCCTCATACCTTTCCTCCTCCCGCTCGGCCAGCCGCCTAAAGGTGATCATAATGGAACAATCCAGCGCGGTTGCACCAAGCTGATACTTTTCCTGCTCGTCCAGGTAGGACTCGATGAAGTAATTCGACCTGTCCGACGCCGTCCGGCTCACCTGGTTGCCACAGTAATCCTCAAGGCAGTCCAAATACTTCTCGTACAGCTCATCGATGAAGGCAAACGGGCCGGGCGATGAGCTGCTACCTTGTCGGTGCAAGTCCGGACGCACCTTGGTCAGATTTGACTGGAAAGAAAGAGAAAACGAAGCGTCAATATCGATTCCGGATTATTCTCATTATATTGCCTTTTTCCCTACCTTCGCCAGAAGCTGGGTGTCCAGGACTTGCTTGAGAGCACAGCTCTTCGGAAGAAACTGATAATTAATTGGACTGCAGGTACGTTCGTGGATCTGATTTTTATCCTTCTGAAAGCCATAAAAGACGAAAACAATCATTAATAACAGTAAAATAAAATAAAATTAAATTGAATAAAATATAAAACGGTTCGGATTCTTTTCGTTCATGGCGATGGATGGTACCTACCTTTTTCCTATCCTTCCGTATAGTCAACAGCTTTCGATCACGATGTGCTTCATAGGTGGAGAAATCCTTCAGCAGGATCTCCTTTATCAGGTTCATAAAGATGGTTTTTCTTCTGGAAGAGGCGAGGAGATTTTTTTTTTATTTTATTTATGTTACCATGAAGAATGGATTTAAAGATTGAACATACTCTTCTTTGGTACGTCCGTCACGCGGAAAGAGTTCTTTCAGGATACGATTGAAGACGGATTTCTCCTGCTTTTCGTCGTACACGATGCGACCGTTCTTGGAGAGCCTGAAGTTGTTTTGCGGTGCACCGATGAGGCCCTTGACGGCGTGTAGCATTCGGATCGGTTTTCTGTAAAATTAAATGAGATTACGGTATCAAAAATAACGATAATGCCGTTCTGCGAAAAATAATTTAAAATTCAGCAGCGATTTGGCATCCACTCTGATTTTTGATGAAACCATCAATGGCAATGAACAATCTTTTTAGTTTAAACACAGCATTTCAAAGCGTAAAACACTCAGGGTGGCCAGTGAACCGGGAATACCGGGAATTATCCGGGAATTTGAAAAGTAACCGGGAAAAACGGGAAAAACCCAGGAATTCAACGAGAGAACAAATTATTACACCAGAATTTCAGAATAAACCATTAAAACAGAGTTATTCTTTACCAAATGAATGTCTTGCTCTATTTGCTGAATAATTTGATTCAGTTTACCGTCTAATTGTTTGTAGAATTTAATCACTCAACAATATTTCAAATTGATTTTTGTCGTTTCGATTTCAAATGTAAAGTGAATGGACTTGGGAAACAAATATTTGTAAAAACCGAATCTGAACTATTCTTTCCGGGGTTTTAATTTTTCGTTATTCAAAATACTCATGATATGAATTCCAAAACTAACTTGGAATTCTGCTCTGAATTACACTAGTTTACAAAACAACATAAAAAGTGTGAACTTTAGTGGTTGACCAACGTTTCTAATGCAAAATCCTACGCTGAATTCAATGCCGTGGTCAGAAAAAATTAAAGTAGAGCCATTTTTGAGATATACAAAAAATTTGATTTTTTGGATTTTGGACAAAAGTACGATTACTAAAATGTCAATATCTTTGGAACTAGTGCACCAATTTCAAATCTTTTTTATGAAAGTGAAGCTAAATAAATTTGCTATCGTTCACTAGAATATTATGTCTTAATTAAAAATTTAATTTTGAAGTCATTTAAAAATTTACAGCATTTTTTTTTATTTTTCCTGCGAATTTTCCATAAAAATCTTGTTTTAATCAACATTTTTAATGGGATAAAAAGATTCAAAAAATCATTCCATAATTTATTCTTAAAGTCCATTAAAAACTGGAGAAAATGAGCCTTGGTGAAATCGGTTGGAAATTGTTGAAGTTATGAAATTTTTTGTAAAATCATGGAAATTGAATGTTCCAAGATTGGCCGTTGTCCCGCTCCTAGGTTCATGCACCACTTCCAGTAAGCCTTTCTGCGGACGTGTACGCATACGGTGCATTTCACTAACACTACCAGCTGTCACGCAAAATTATATGGGATATTTTCAACCATATAATTTACGCTAGTGTTTGTGAGACCGCTCGGCGAGAACCTAACGCAACCAACTCAATTTGACAGCTTTCTTTCTTTAACATTGCTTAACGATGTATACGACAAAACGTGAATTCAAGTGTAAAAATGATCCTCAAAAGTTTTGTTACGCGTGTGGCAACTATATATTTACAAAATCGGTCAATTTCACTGCTTCGCTGCAAACTGCATACAGGCTTTATTTTAAAATTAATCCTGGAGACTTTGACGAACCGTGGATTCCAAAAGTATTATGTAGTTCGTGCAAAACGTGCTTGGCTAGGTGGCTGTCAGGCGCAAGGTAAATTGATTTTTTGAATAACTTTCATATAAACAATTTATGTACAGCATGGTAGTGCTTTGTTCTTTCCTGATCGACATTATCTTACTTCATCTATTTTTGATAAGTGTTAATGTCTTACTTACTAACTCACTTATTTGTTATCTGTCAGTCGCTATTTGTCCTTTGACATGCCCACCATATGGCGTCGATTATTTCAACAAGGACGTCACAAAACAGTTGAGTATCCACAAGTGGCTTCTATGACAAAACCTGTTCCACATTCAAGTTCGGTCCCGTATCCTGTTTATCCAAAGCGGAAACTAGCGCCCTCTGTTGAATCGACCGTTACAAAAAGTGAGGAGGAATTCAAGGAGGAATGCGAGGAAGACTTCGAGGTGGAATTGGAAAGAAACCCAAAACTGTTTACACAATCCGAATTTAATGATTTGGTGCGAGATCTCGACTTATCGAAGGAGAAATCCGAATTGCTGGCATCACGCTTGAAAGAACACAACATACTTAGCAAGGAGGTCAAAATTTCTTGTCACAGGAATCGTCACAAGAAATTTGACAAATATTATTCTACAAAGGACAGGGCATGTTTTTGCCATGACGTAAACGGCTTGTTTGAAGAGTTTGGTGAGCCATATGATCCAGCTGAATGGCGTTTATTCATCGATAGCAGCAAGTTGAGCTTGAAAGCCGTTTTACTGCATCAAGGGAATGAGAAACCTTCTATTCCATTAGCTCATGCCGTTAATATGAAGGAAACGTATGAATCAATGGCTCTATTGGTCAATTTGATAAATTACAATCAACACAATTGGAAAATTTGTTCCGATCTTAAAGTGGTTGCCATGTTGACTGGATTGCAACAGGGATACACAAAATATATGTGTTTTTTGTGTAAATGGGACAGTCGAGCTCGTAAGGAACACTACGTCCGAAAAGATTGGCCAAAACGGGATAATTTCACAATTGGTAAAGACAACGTTAAAAATGATCCTCTTGTGGTAAAAGAACGCATAATACTTCCACCACTACATATAAAACTTGGGCTATTCAAAAATTTCGTCAAAGCGTTGCAAAAAGAAGGGCCGGCATTCCAGTACTTGAAATCAGTATTTCCAAATTTATCTGACGCAAAGATAAAGGAAGGTGTATTTGTTGGCCCACAGATCAAAAAACTGCTCAATGATTCCGCATTCAATACAGTTTTGACACCAGATGAGGAAGAAGCGTGTTGTCACAACCTTTTTAGGAAATTTCAGAAGCCCAGATTATGAGGAAGCCGTCGATGAATTGCTCAAAAATTATGAGAAAATAGGTATAAATCAAAAATATTGTGTTTGTTACATATAATTAATTTCAAATCCTTTTATTTCACTGAACACAGGTGTGAATATGTCTTTGAAGATACATTTCCTACATTCTCACATGGATTTTTTCCCGGAAAATCTTGGTGACGAGAGTGATGAGCACGGCGAACGTTTTCACCAACAAATGAAGATGATGGAACGTCGTTACCAAGGGTTTTGGGATGAAGCAATGATGGGTGACTATTGTTGGTTTCTGATTCGAGAAACAAGTTCAAAACATCGAAGACAAAGTCATTCGATTCTCAATCATTTTTAATAAAACCTAAATAAATTTCTTTGGTATCAACTCGGTTTTAAATCCTGATAAGCCTTAATCAAATTGATATGTAGAGAAAAGAATCTCCCATGAAAACTTTACATGCGATTTGGATGCTTACAACGACACCTAGAAAAGGAACTCTAAAGCTGTTGTATTTCAGCAACATTTTTAAGTGTTTTACAAAAATGCTCATAACTTCGACAATTTCCAACCGATTTCATCCATTAATGGCTCATTTTCTCCGGTTTTGAATGGAATTTAAGAATAAATTATAGAATGATTTTTTTGAATCTTTTTATCTCATTAAAAATGTTGATTAAAACAAGATTTTTATGGAAAATTCGCAGGAAAAATAAAAAAAAAATGCTGTAAATTTTTAAATGACTTCAAAATTAAATTTTTAATCAAGACATAATATTCTAGTGAACGATAGCAAATTTATTTGGCTTCATTTTCATAAAAAAAGATTTAAAATTGGTGCACTAATTCCAAAGATATTGACATTTTAGTAATCGTATTTTTGTCCAAAATTCAAAAAATCAAAATTTTTGTATATCTCAAAAATGGCTCTACTTTAATTTTTTCTGACCACGGCATTGAATTCAGCGTAGGATTTTGCATTGGAAATGATCATCACCTTACCGAGTTCAAAAATGCTGTAAACTAGTGTTATCATGGGATTCTTCTGAAATTATCCAAAAAACACTCCGCGTAATAATTACCGTTGAATTCTTTTTGGGACTTCTAAACATTTGATTGGAATCCTTCTTAGAAATCCCTTAGGTTCGGGGACTTTGATTCCTTTGAAATTCTTGTCAAAATATTTTTTTTAACTCTATTCAAAGCAGCAGAAATCTTTCGAAATTTTATTCATGAACCCCTTGCAGTATTTTAAAGAATTTCAATCTAATTATCAGCAATTTTTTTGCATTCAATTTTGTTGGAGCTCTGTAATGAATCTTTGCACTAGGGTTGAAATTATCTCCAGAAGACTATTAGAAATCAGTTTCTTGTTGAATTCTCATCATAATTCTCTTGGAATTCTTCTTCAAATTCATTTGTCATTTTCCTCACGATCCCCATACAAATCTTTTCAGAATCACGTAGGAATTTTCCTTAAAGTTTTTTTTTTCAAAACTCCTTTTTTTTCCTTCTAAAATTACCTAAGAATTTAATTTGAACTTGCATTCTTCTCCACAAAAATCTCTCCAAATTTTTCTAATAATTTCTATGGACTTTATGTCAGAATAATGCTGGAATTCTGCTCAGAACTTTTCATTTGAAAATTATGTGAGAATCCTCCTATTTGTTAGAAATTTACATTTTGAATGTTTTTAAATTTTACAAAAAAATCCAGATGTCTGCAGGTCACTAAAAAGTCACTATTTTCTAAAATGTAATCACTAAAGTCACTTTTTACGACTAATATTGAGAGTAAATGCCCGAATGCAATGCTAGTGGAAGTGAAACGACAGTGGCAGCGGAAAAGTCCGATATGAGTAAGCCTGCTTGTCGGGTAGGAAACTAGTTAAAACTAAATTTACTTTGGTTTGACATCTTGGATTCATTTGTGACAACGGTTCAATATTGTTACAAGGGGCAGCCACTAGTTTTGAAAAATTCAAGAGCAGTTTTTAAGTCCAAAACTAAAATTCCGTTCATGAAAATATGGTCATTGCATTCTACTTGCCTACCATGGTGGACACATTTTCATTGACAGAATTTCGATTTTAAACAAAAAAAAAACTACTTTTGAATTTCAAAAATTCCGCTTTCCCTTAAAGAGTTTGCTAACGCTTTTAAATTTTGAATTTTACTTAAAATTCCAGATGTCCGCAAGATTCTATAGATTGTTCTGTAATTTGTTATAACCCTTCCAAGTCTCAGATCCTTGACAATTATGACTCTAAGATCCATAAATATGTTATTTTTTTTTACAAATCTGTGATCCCAAATTGTGTGTGCCAAACATGCAGTTGAAATCTAAAAATAATATTGAACAATTTATCAATCAATTGATAAGTAAGCGTAGCAAATACTTTCATACCGATAATCAGCTTTGTCGATCATTCTCCTGCTCCCCTGCAACGATTCTTAATTGCAGTAACCGAACCAGTAGACATTGTTTCACAAAATAACAATAAGCTGCCGGGAATTCCTTCGACGTTTCATCACCATATTGTTGCACAAAGTACTTGTACAAGTCCAAGTTGGTTTTCGTCGAAGTTGAGCAGGGAACGGATTCAATCAAGCTTTAAATAAGAAAATAAGGCAATGATCGCGATAGTGAAATTTTCACTAAATTCACTTACCCTTGATCAATGGATTGTTACCATGATAGAATAAAACAGCTCGAGGCCAAATCGTTGGCAATGTTCTTGGAAAATTTCGGTGAATGATTGTTTTGAGAAGAGAGATGAACGAACAGAATCTGTTGTTTTGACAGTTACCTCGCAGTTGGCACTCAATGTCATAGAGATCAGGTCCGGCAATGTCTCTTTCATTCTCTCGCTCTGGAATGGAACTGCGAGTTTGACGTCAAACTCACTGTTCCATAAGTGCAGCGGGAGAATGAGAGAGACGACAAATTCACATTGCCGGATCTGTTCCACCTGACATGGGTTGGCACTGTCAGCTGCTTGACAATATGAGATACACGATAAACCGATTTGAATCAAATTTGACAAAATGTTTGATTGGGGGCCTTTTTCATCCATAGATGGAGTTAGTTGTTACGTCTCCCGAGAAATGTATGGGGATGCCAGAAGTGACCTATATTGTTAATGTAGTATATTTGCTTTTTCTCTTTCTAAAATTCAATGTTCATGGCTGGAACGACTTTTTGAGATATTGAATTTTGGGCAATGTTAGACCCTTTTTTTTTGCCCAAAGTGCAACGTAAGGTTTGTTTTGGCACAGAACAGACGAAGGGTTAGGAATGTTTTTTTTTTTATCTTCCAATGAATACAAACGATCGATTGATTTTGTTTACCATAACAACCAGTTGAGATCAGTTTCGACTGCGGAGTTCTTATTTTCCATCCCACGCAGCGTACGCAGGATTTAAACTTAGACTTGCTCACGGATCAAAACAACATTCACGGGTAATGAATCAGCATTTTTGTGTTTTGCTCAAAATGTTACATATTTTCCTCTGAAAATCCCAGCACACCCATCAGCACCAAAGAGCTGTTCACTGACGATGATGATGGTACAAATTTAGTGAGCCTGAGTCAAATTTTGCCCCATGTGTGAGTTTTACCAATTTTTGAGTAAAAATATCCACCAGCTTCGTCATACAACTATCCCCACCGTTTTTGTCCTCACATGTTGTTAATGTAGCTGGTGCTGTGGTTGTAGAGGAGAGCCAGATGACGAGGTGCAACCAGAAGGAATATTATTAAGGTGCAATTTAATTTCATGCATTTTCCAAAAATTCAAACCCAGTTTTCAGATTGCTTCATTTCGTGTCAAATAACAAAAGCAATTTAAAGACTAGAGTGTTTTTGCAATCTGAAATGATGCGTCGAAAACAACTGGTTTTGAATTTGTAGACATCGCACCAAAGAAAATTGCACCTTAATACGAAACAAGACGATGCGATGGTGCAAGTGCTTTTTCGGGGCATTTGAGCAGTGCCGGAGAACGACTATGGACGGGGAGAGTGGGGCTTTATGGAGCATAAAATTGGAAGTGACAAGCGACTTCCTGGATGCGTCTGGTTTTTGCGCTGTCACGGTACGGTAGATAAATTTAATTTATTCTTGGCCAGGAATAAAACGGTCCAAAATAAATCCCAGCGTGTTGGATGTTTTCCTTTTTTTGCTTCTCCGAAATGCGTTTTATGCACGTTTGTCTTAATGCTTGTTTTGGTTATCTGCGTTTATATTTACGCTCTTCTCTCCTGGAGGGCAAAGGTGCGTGCTAAATTTAATTCGGATTATGAAAGCAGGAGAGCTGTCTGTTTTCCGTTGGTTGTCGGGTTATTTTTCGCATTCAAACCCCAAGACGAATGGAAATTTATTCGATCACGGAGAAGAGTTAGTTCAACGATGTGGGTTTTTCTAAAACTTACCCAGAGAACAGATCCAACGGACAATATTTACTAACTTTCCCTATCGACTTCTTTTGGAGCTGAAATGGAGAATAAACAAATCGTTAATCACAACACACTCAATCAATAAGCTTCACAGTCTATTCAAGTAAAACGTCCTTACCTTCAAATACTGATACAAACAGAACCGACATTTCCCAATCTCGGTTCCGGCAAGTTCCGCACTATCACAGTTGGAAAACAGTTCCCGGCGGGTGAAACCATCTTCGTAGCATTCGTCGTGAAAGGACCATCCTTGCTTCGGTTTGATCTCGACGCAGTAGGTGTTGTACCAGTACCCTCTGGTGGTGGTGTCCTGAAATGCAAACAAAGACATCTCGATTCATTCGGAATCCTCTTGTTTTTCATTAACCCGGCAGGGCGATCTCTCAGCAGCCTCTCGGGACGGTATGCGTAATTAATGTCAATCACAAACTAACTGCCCTCGGGTGGCAAATATTTACACACACCGTCCGGTGATCATCATTCGACGATGACTTAAGTAAATAAGCGCTTACGGCCAAGTGAGGGTCATTCCGTGTAAAGTAAAACTGCGCGCGTCAATGTGCTTCAAATAGGATTTTACGCGCGCTTACGGCCGGACGGTGGGTGTTTACTCTATTTTCAGTTATACACTCTCTAGCGGCGATGATAAACAACAAGTACCTTGTTGGTGCTGTTTCTGCTGGCAAAGGGGGCAGTAAATAACGATAGTTTTACTTTGAGGATTTCAAAATAAAATACACATGACGTGTATGTCTACTGTTGCTAACTATATGGCAATGTAAAGAGGCAAAAGTGCCAATCGGAGGTCATTTCAAGTTATTTTGCGACGCTAGGTGTTGAATGATGTGCATCACTTACGGAATTGTAGAATTGTTTAGACAACTTTCCATCGAAACCGGGATAGAAGTCTAAGCTTGGAATCGTGAAATTTTCTAATCCACAAAGATAAGTTTGGAATATCGAGATGACAACTTCTTTCTACGCCACAGTTCCAAAGTGTGAATTCAAAAAGTCCCATACAGGAATCCATGAAATCCCAGAAGAGTTGCAATCACATCCTAACAAACATGATCCTCGACTGACGCAGGGTGGCCACAGATTTCAGAAAATTAAATTCCTGATTTTGCCGGTTTTTCTTGGGTGCCCAACATATTTTCCCGGATTCATACGGGTGAAAGGTAATACAGGTCAGTGTTTTTAAAGCAATTGTAGTATCAAATGGGTTAATCACATACATGTCTGCATATTTTTCTTTTAGAGTGTGTTCAAATGTCAACACGGCATGCAAGTTTGTTTTGAATTTTCATTCGTTTGATACTCGTGATAATCATGGACGCGAAAAGGGAACTCGTGATGAGCCTGTTTTTGAACCATCATAGACCGTGTTCTATTTTGAAGACACTGAAACCACTCGGAATAAACGATAGCCGAAAACGAGAGAGAGCGAATTCGGCGGAATCCTTGTAAGTCTGGGCGTAAGATGGCCAAAGAACTCGGAATGTCGCAGCCCATGATCAGGAGTATTTTGAAAGATGATATCGGATTGAATGCTTACAAAAAACAGCGGGTGCATGATTTGACCGGAAAGCAAAATATAGCTAGAGTCGAAAGATCGGAAACTGCTCAAACGGCACGGTGATTGCGAAATTCTGTTTTCGGATGAGAAAATGTTCCTGCTACAGGATCACCACAACCAGCAAAATGATCGGCTATAAGCTGCATATTACTGACTGATGCAAAATTTGAAACTTTCGCTCTACAGTGCGCAAACAGCTTCAAATCAGGTCCTGATTAGCCTCCCAAAATTTAAACTCATTTGATTAGAAACTGACTTGGCACAACCTATTCGAAGTTTATATGGAAATTACTATGGGAAAAACCAAACTTTTTGATCATTATCTTCTACCCATTTTCCATATTGATTTTTTAAAAAATTCAATAACTATTCTTACGGAAAATTTTCTAAGCTACAACTTAGCGGAATATCGTTTTTCAGCCAAATGACAAATTAAACACAAAGCAAAAAATAATTTTTAATATTACATCCATGAGGATGCACTTCAATCATGTCGAAAATCTCATGTAATTTTTATAGCCACAAAAATAAACAAATGCAGTAAAAGCAGCGTCATGTCAGTTCATGCACTCTATTAATGATAATTTTGTCCTTTTTGGCAAGCAATATTAAACTATATTTTCGACACGATTGAAGTGCATCCACTTTGATGTGATATGTATCAAAATTAATTTTTTGCTGTGTAGTTATTAATTGTTTAAGAGACTGATAATCTTATGACATGATCAAGCAAAAGTTCTGTGGGCAACACTGTATTCTGCAGTGTGACATAGTAGCCATGATATTTGTTATCTATTCTTCGCACCAGAAACACCAATGTTGCCTGCTGAACAGATGCATGAGCATAATCATAAGACATCAGTGACTTGAATTATTAACAACTTTTGTTCCTTACATTTGATTGAAAAGTGGTTTTAAACAGAGTTTGCTTCAATCCCTGCTATCATTTTTAAAAACATAGTGATGTGGTGAATTGTTAGATAGATATGAACAAAAACATAATTTTTCCCATAGTAATTCTTATATAAACTTGAAATGGTTTGTGCCAAGTCAGTTTCTTACTAAAGTAGTTCAAATTTTAGGAGGCTAAGCAGGACCCATTTTGGAACCATTTAAGCACTGTAGAGCGAAAATTTCAAATTTTGCATCAGTCTACTGCATATCTTGCTGATATTCCTCGTGACAAACTGGCTGTTCAAAGGTTCCAGAATGTTTCAGGGTGATGGTATGGGGATGTTTCTGCATAACATTGAAAGCTCCATTGCTGTTCATTGAACCTGGTGTTAAAATCAATAGTAAATGTTACATCGATAATGTTTTGAAGAACCACTTGCTTCCCTTCGTCCAAAAACATTATAAGAATGCACCATACTGCTTCCAACAAGACTCTGCACCATCCCATCAGGCAAAAGTTACACAGGCTTGGTGTGAGGCCAATTTCCCGGATTTCATTTCGTCGAAAAAGTGACCGGCATCCTCACCCGATTTGAATCCTCTCGACTTCTTTGCATGGGGCTACATATAAGGCGAACTAGGGAATACCAAGGGACTAACCGTGGAAACTTTTAAGCAACGTTTGGTGAAAATATGGGACGAAATGCCTCAAGATATCGTGCGTGCCAGCTGTAACGATTTTCAAAAACGGAAGCGGCTCGTAATTAAAGGAAAGGGAGAAATATTTCAATTGGACTAAGTTAAGAAAAAATGTTATAGATACACGAAACAGGAAATACACTGAAAATTTAATTTCACACCATCTTCTCATTTTTATGACCATATACTTTACTGACAGAAATTACCTTTCACCCTGTAAATAGCTAAGAATAGTTAAAAGAGGAATCCCGGTATGATTAATTTCAGCAATTATTATCACTGCATGAAAAAGTTATGACATTTTATTTGAAATGCACAAAAATCGGAGAAACCCTCCTCCAACCCTTCATAATTTTGAAATTTATCGATGATACATGTAAATTATTCAAAGGGCACTAGGCAAATTTTGATAAATTGAATTTCTTTTAGAAAACAAAGAGATCCACAGAATAACATTTTAATGCTTGGGCCATCGATTTTTTATAGGTTACATGAGAAAATTTCAATTATTTGAAGCTAGGCCAGTTTCTCTCATTCCTGAACTTTCCGAGAGTTCTCACTTCAAATATGGCGTATTTTAAAGAACTCAGTTTAAAAAGCCTCTCTCTAACAGTGATGGCATAATCCTCACTCAAATGATTATATTTCGCTCTCATTGGGCTCCCAGTATCACGCGTGATAGTGGCATAAATTATCAAGCATGATATTGATTTTACAAGCTCCTTTGAAATTGCGAGACTATTCAGAATAGGGTAGAGCACTACTTCGTCGTAATCGCCCATTTCCGTTCTATCGATCAGAAAAGATCAATAATATCAATGATTTCACCATGCACAAATTAATAATAGGTTTGTTCTGATGCGTAAGCTCATTAGCTACAACATAAATCCAGTTAGAGCGCATTTTATGAATATTTACGCTCATTGTTCTCAAAACAAAAGAAGCGCTCCTAGCGAATCCTCTTTTTCTACGTTTATCCGTAGGACGAAGAAAATCTAATGGCGTTTCAATGCGTTAGGACGGAATTGAAACTCGTAGAACGAATTTAGAATCAAGAAGCAGTGTTAGATTTTAAACAATATCTCAACAATTTGTGACTCTTTATCAAAAAAGGTGAATGAATTTAGAAGTCATCTTTGACAGAAATATTCCATTTTTTGTTTAAACTCATTCAGAAAAGAAAGGTAAAGCGCGGGTTGGGCTTAGTTAAACGGAAATTAGATCAAAAACCCTATGTACAATTGTAGCTACGCGTTGACTAACCACAACAATGATTCCGTTGCATATCGTTTTCATAGAAAGAGAAAGCATAGTTTTCTATCTCTCTATACTCTTCACAGGTTTTTTTTGCTTTGATTTGTTTTCCGTCGATCTTATTTTTCGTGCTGAGCACCAATGCTACCGACACCAGGGAGGCAGCTCCCACACCTGGACCCTACATATAGACCCATCAACTCATAAACCGGGGACCAACGGCTTTACTTCCCTTCTTCTTACTCTTCACTTAGGTACTCTTCACAGATGGCAGACACGAAATTAATGCTGCCAGCAGTGATGGATGTTTCGGTTCGTGTTCGGGTGTACAGCAAAAATCAGTTTGGTGAGAGTTGTTAGCTGGTGAGTTTTGTTAGCATGATAAGAGAGTAACCGTATTACAGCTTGCAATATCATTCGCTATTGCCTGCCCGTTTTTTTTTTTTTTTTTTTTTTTTTTTTTTTTTTTTTTTTTCTTTTTTTTTTATTATGGTCACTTTAACACTCTTGGGTCATTCGTGACTTGTCCGGGGGTGAGATTTGAACTCATGACTTTGGCGTGAGAGGTATGGATGTTAACCACTACGCCGGGGTCACCCCCGCTGTCTGCCCGTTGATTTTTGCTTACGATACTCAAATGAGATCATGCTCATTGGTGAGATTCGATCTTTTGATATTTTCCCAACACTGCTCTCTAACGTTTTAGGATTCTGACACTTCAAAGCATTGGCTAGAGAATTGTTATGAGAATGCCAAATGAGTTTTGAGGAGAATCTGGGGAGACGTTCAATGGATTGGCTAGAAATATCAGATAATTTTGAGAAGTATTTCAACAACAGAGTACAACCAACCGGTGGAAACGAACGATTTTAAATTGGCTGATTGTG